TGGCGGGACCTTTATTACGCGATGGTCACTTATTGGAATTTTCAATCATCCGAAGAGACTGTTGCTGTTTAGTCTTATTATGTGAATGAAGTCTTTGTAGAATGAGAGTCGATGACATGGAGGATGCATTATGGATTTTCATTTGTTGTATGAAGGGGACTTTGTTTTTATGAGCCGTTTCTTTTGAAAGTGACTTGTTAGTCCATTTATCCTTAAATTGAGATATTTAGAGGTTTGTGTTTCGATGCAATTAAAAATATATGTGTAGGATTGACGAACTGCATTAACTATGATAGCATCTTGAGAAGTTAGCGGGAATAGAATCTAGAAGAAGAGGACGGAGCGACATGCAAAATGGAGAACACCGGGTATATGGAGTAAATATGACGCGAATTACGTCGTGTTGGGTCTCATTTTAATCAGAAGAATGTCGGGAATACGATGGTAACAGTTTTACAACAAAAACGTATATGTATATTTATTTAAACTGCGAATGAATTACTCGAAATATGAGTCGAATAATTAGATTCAGAACAAGAGCCGCGATAAATTAGCCGAGAAGTTGCAGATCGTCAACCTCTTTTACCGAGTGTCCCCTTACTTATTAAAATATCCTTCCATCGCTGTAACACTTAATTACGACGGGAATTTAATATGAACAACGGGTAACAACATCAAAGTAATAGGATAATAAGTATACTCGAGAATGAAAATTACATCGTACCGGGAATGCTACAATTATTGACGTTTAAACTGTTTATAACGGACATTTTCAAAGCATTCGTGGCATTAGGAATAGAGCTTTTGTGAAATTATTCTGTGAAATCCTATTCTTTTTCAAAGTTACACAGTCATCAAGAAAATTTCAACTACTGGGATTAAAAGTGCTTATAATATTACTTTTTTGAACTTTTTATCGGACTAGAAAATCTATTTTCTAAATTCATTTTATGGACGCACATATTACTTTGAGAATGCTATAGTAAGCCTGGTAAAAAAGTAATTTTAAGTTCCATAAGTTCACGATGAGCTTCAAAAGAGCCTTCTGCTCTAAAAGTTGAAAAAATATCGACTTTCTTTCTTACTAAGTTTCAACCGTGAATAGCGTTCACCTAAATTATTGGATTAAATTTCGAAAAAGCGATTTATACGAGAAAATATTAAGCACTTGCTCAAAGGTTCCATATTAATTTTATTCAGGTTATTCCCGCAATTTGACATCGTTATTCCCTATTAGCGAAACGAGTGATGCAATTAGACTAATTACCGAGTTTCAGTGGCGAAGTTTATTGCAGTAAATAGAAATGCTGTCAGCGATGGAACTGTTCGCATGTGACCATCTCTAACTTCGAGACAGTTTTTCTGGAAGCTGCTCTTTCAGCATTGGCGAGTTCAGAGTCGCCAATAGTAATGAACCAATCACGATGTTTGACGTCAGAAAATAAACAGAAATAATAAAAGTTCATTTAAAGGTTAATTTAAATTCCATACTATGAGACCTAATTTTAGTTTCACCAAATACTATTTGAGAAAATTTAATTTTTACAAAAAGATTCACAGCTCCACTACAAAAAGGAAAAACGAAATTCTCGGGCTGTGTAGAGGAAGTTCGCGAAGCTTGTTTTTTAAATATAGAAACTTTTACTTTGCGACTCCGACTATAGTTCCCGTGGGCTCTTCAATTATAATGTAATTAAAAAAAAAAAAAAGAAAAAAAAGCGGTGACATTCTCTTGGTGAAAATGAAAAATGTAGAGTGACATTTGTAGTCGTGCGAGCGCGCATCATCGTATGCGAAAATGTTATAAAACCGACGAGGAAATAATTTTTGCTTTTTATTATTGCCCAGCACGCGCTAACTGCTATTAAACAAAGGTTTACAAAGGATTTCGTGGGAAACGTGAAAATATCTGTTGAATCTTTTACTGGACCGTTTACAGCTTCGAGGGAAATAGACTCTCATGTTTGTAAATTTCAATTATTATGAGATATCCCGCGCAACGCGCAGCGGTAGATCGTTTCGAGTAATAGCAAACGTACAGGGAACAATGAAAAATCATTGTATTAGGTTGTTGCGTGTGAAATGTCCGATCTTTTAGAGAAGATATAAACATCTGTATTTTTGTTACGAATTTACTTCATTCATCGAAATAAGCATCAACAGATTCTGTGCGTTTAAACAATTCGTCCTTTAACACGTTGACTGCCAGGGGAATGCAATTTAAGAAAATTGTACAAAATAACAAAATAAAATTTCAGACAAATTTTTGAAGCCATACATAGGTCTTCCTGAAGTATAATTCTCTACCAAAATAATCTCTATAAAGAGGTTCTAATTGAATTAAACAAATAGAAAATATATATATTTTTGTGTCATCCTTACTAAAGATTCCTGAGCATTTAATAAATATGAGCGATGCCGCACTCATATTCTCGCAGAGTAGAGCGATAAATAACTCTGAAACCCGTACTTGAGGAAGCCGGAATATTTGTGGGTTCTACTGCAGGTTGCTAGCCACTTTCGTTGATTTATATTTCATCGAGGGATCTCGCGCACCGGCGAAGCTTGCGAAACGCCGCGTTAAACTGTTTGCACTGTCGCTTTTATAATTCCACGATCGAGATTTCCGTGAGCCGCGAGCAACAGACTCGTGTTAATCCGTGAACGTCGAAAATTTACGCTTTATTATTCCTCCCCTCTCCCCCCCCCCTCCCCACCCCCCTCCGCCCGTGTCCCGTACGCGCGTCGACACTTTCGGGGGCTCGCGCTTTATCGCGGCGCATTTTCCGTGCGAACGGAGCCGCATTCTATGAAAATGGACCGAGCACGTCGATAATTGCGGGAAATCGGGGCTGAAAATTCCAGCAGATACCGTCATTCGCCCGGTGATAAACGTCAAACAATTCCAAACAGAGGAGACACGCTTTCATGGGTCCTAAATTCAGGAACAAGCAATCTAATCGGATTCGTTGTTCATTGTCAGTTTATACGAAAACAGGTCGTTTGATGAACTAATTCACGTCACTTTTTAGCGTCTTGGAACAAGCATTTCACTATTCAAAGTTATTTGAATCGTTAGAGTTATTCTTTTTAGGTTGAATCACGTTTTTGTATAATTTAAAGATGTACAAGTTGTTATCGTAATCAAGATTCAAGAATTTTTTTTGCAAGATTTGAATGTATATTTTAAAAGAAAATGCACATGTACAAGTATTAAAAATAATCAAGTAGAGCAAATCTCAGAAACATTTTTTTTTTTTTTTTTTTGTGAAATTATTTTGTTAGAAGACGTCGACATATGGTAAAATATTCGAATATATTGTAACAACGAAATTTATATAATAAGTTCAATACTAGTGCCGTGAAATTACGCTTTGTTCTTTGCTGTTTCCTTTGTGCGGTAGCTGTTCGCACCTCTTCTAACTTCGATTGTTGGTAACAAGGAACGTTCGTGAAGTACTGCCCCTTAAATTTTTACGAAACTTTGCAGGTATAAAGAACGTCTAAAATAAGCAATAGGTTCTTTTTCAGTTGCGGTAACTTAAGTTTAAGGGTCGAAACTGCCCTCCAAAAGTTTCAGCCTTCCGATCCTATCTTCACGGCTATTGAATACAAAAGGACGTCGTTTAATCAGATTCTGTATAGTTTCCGAAACAAAATTATTTAGGGGAGATTGGTATCAATTCAGCACGAGTCAACTGTAACGAAGACGATGTCTCCGCCAATTGAATAAATTTGTAATTAACCTCACAAGTAGAAAAAGTAATTCGACACAATTCTGACAAATCAAATTGTTACATTATCGTGGGAAATATTTTCTGGGCTCTCCAGTGATAGATATAGGAAAAAGTTTAAACACAGTTTTTTGTATATAAAAAGGTTGTAACAAATATTTATCGAAAAATCCACGCTTTAGAGGTTATCATTTTTTCGATATTTATTTGTGCGCGATGTTCTCGTAGTTTTGAAAATATTTCGGAAGAAAGAATAATCCGGATTCTTGTCAAAGGGCGACCTGGAAGAAGATGCCATTAATTACTTTTAAAATCACTGACAATTTCTCTTAAATATTTAACGAGTTCCTTCTGAACAATTTTGATGGAACTTGGTATAAAGAGGGTTTTGGGAGCGCTGATTCCAAATTAGAATTCATAATTTAGAAATAGAAAATGGTGGATCTAATATGGCGCCACAAAATGCAAAAAGTGACTGGATTTGGATGAAACTTGGTATAAAGGGGTCGTAGGGAGCACAGATTCCAAATTTGAATTCGAACTTTAAAGATTCAAAATGGCGGATGCAATATGGTGTATAAAAATGTGAATAGTGACTGGATTTGGTTGAAATTTGTCTATTCCCATATTTCTACCGTAATCAAATTTACTTTTACTACATTCAGCGACTGGGTTAAAAATTAGGTAGACCTACCCCAGATCTAAACCGGTACGAATCCCTTACACATCGTTCCCTATCCAAACACGCTACGTTTCGATAAAAATCGGGCCAGGAACACTTTGCGGATATACCTCTTAAGGAACCATCCTTCCCATTCCCCGAACACAATGCTACGTACGAGGTTGCCGAGCAATCATCGGGGTTCTATTTGAATAGGGCGCGCAGACAGGAAAGATTCCGCGACGACGAGAGAAGGAGAGATCGTCGTTGAAATTAAGGTCCCGTTTCACTTCAGCTGTTTCGCTCCTCCTCGTTTACGAGCTTTCCAGATCTCCCAGCCGGATTTGAACGAAAAGGAGCTTACCTTTTAAAACTTTACCGGGAGTCACCTAGTCCCACCACTCCCACCTCCGCCCTGTTATACGAGACGCCCGTCCGCCAGCCACCAAATTGTATATCCACTTTGCTCGAATTTCAGGAGTACCAGAACGGGCCCTTAACGAAGACGAGTCATCCGTAATCTCTGAAGCGGCGTCGGACCAGCCCTTGCACGGATACCAACCGCGAGACGGGCTCAAATTCCTCAAAGGAGACAGGGTTAACCACGACACGATCCTTCACGGAAGACGTCAGCCTCCGCCGTGTGTCTGCCCGGGGCCACGCGCGCGCGCGCGTCCTTGTATGTCTGCTCGAGCGGACGTTCCAGGAGACGAGGCTGAAAGGGTGGCCCGCGGTTCCCACCGATCCCCAGGGACACGGCCGTCGAGCCCCGTGGTCCAAGCCCGCCACGGCGTTCCACAAACTTGCGCAATATCCACGTAACCGGGTACCCGCGAAATTCTTTGGCAAATCTTCCGCGGCGTTCTCCCAGCCGCGAAACCAGCGACTGAAAACCGCCGCGGGGCGGATCAGAGCGGCGGATCAGAGCGGCGGAAACGAGCGACGACGGAAAGCTAGCACCGCGAACGAGTCGCGAAGCGACGGCACGTTGGAAACAGTCGAGAGACGTCTGGGAGCGAAACGAGGGAAAACGGAGAAGTCTGGCGAGACAAGGGTTCGCTCCGAGCGGGATATTAGCCGTGTCACCTAACGATCGTCGAGTTTCGCGTCGTTGCGTCGCGGCCGTAATATCCTCGGAAAGTGAGCGCGGGACCCGTGAATTTCCGCAGTTCCCCGTGACACGTCCGCGTCGCCAATTAAAAAGAACGAAAGACGGTCGAGAGGAGACAGGGCCGCTAACCCGGCGCGTAATCGCGGCCCACGGCGAACGCGGCCGAGCGTAAAGGAACGCCGGAAATCGAGAGACGCGCTGTTCACGGTGAAAATTAAACGAGGAAACTCTTTGTATGCTCGCCGCACGGAACCTTCGAAACTTCCGCGAGATCGCGCTAATACTCGAGGGAAAATCTTTTCCCGGCGGTTGAACGCAGTGTCTCTGCTCGCTGTTACGGGGCGGGGGAGAAAGAAAAAAAGAAAAAGAAAATCAGAGAGAGAGAGAGAGAGAGAGAGAGGGAGAGAGAGGTAGCCTTTGGCTGTGGAACAGCGGGGACGCGAGGAACGCTGAAAGCCACTCGAGAAAGAGGAGGGCCCCTGGAACGTTCCCCGTATTCTATAGCCCGGAGCGTCCTGTATTTCTGATAACGTACTCGGTTGCGCCGCAGTACCCTCGTGAATGAGGCTCGCTCGCTAGCCGAACGAGGAGTCGGCAAGAAAGTCCTTTCGCCCAGAGGCGCACCATTAGCTTTACACCCATAGGATATCGTCCGACGGCGTTCCGCAGACTGCGACGATATCTCCAGACAGAGGAACGCGTTTCGACACGTGTATCTTCCATGGAGGCTTGTTCTCCGCGCATCCGGTAGGAAAGGGAACTGGAGTGCCTCGAACAATACCAACTACCCGTCGACAAGCAACTTGCCAGGACCGTGGAGCGTTCGTCGACCTACAGCTCTCGGGATCTCGATAAGACGGAGCACCTCTGACACGTATCCTCCCGAGTTCCCCCAACCACGAGATCGGCCTCTGACCGTGGCGAACGGGGGAGAGGTCGGGTCGATGCAACTTTATATATTCGTCGTTAACGATAGTTGCCAAACGACTCGCCTCGAACTCCATAAACTCGAGCAATATCTACAGCCGGAATCGATCCCGAGTTGCTGGTAACCGTCTTCCCGGCAAACTTTTACGCGCTGCTGGACCAATCGATCTCCTCCCTTGCAACAATCGTTGCACAAGAGGAGACGAACGCCGTACGCGAGGAATGCCGTCGGTTGGGTTGAGAGAGTGAGCTTTCTGGACGCGGAGGCCTCTCGATCCGGTTGATTCGAGCTTCTCGAAGGGTCGCGGCGGTTTCGTGAAGGGGTGGTGAATGAGGCCAGGCGAAGCGGAGGCAATCAGCGGCAAGGTGGGCGAGAATAGGCGAGGAGGAAAAATATGGTACACGAGGGCACGGGTCTATGGCACGACGCGGGATCCAACGTATCGAGGTGGCTGATGATCATAATACACGGATACCGGGCCACCAGCCTTCTGCTATCCATCCTACTTAACCTGCTGGTGAGAACTGGTGAGTATGTACACACGGTTCTCGATTTCCTACGCGCGCCTGTTACAACCAACGGCGCGGAACCAGTTTCCAGTGTTTGCGTTTCGCTCCCGCGTGCTGCTACGTTTCGCTTTACACCGCGGCGAACCCATTTCGTCGTACATGCATCGTGATCGTCGCATCGTTGGACGTAACGCGTGTACCGAACGGTCCTTTGTCGATTAACAAATCTTCGGGTGAACTAAATGGTTGGTATTTGTCGTACGGGATCACGCAGCGCGATTACTTTGACCCGTTCGAGAATTTCGAGGGGAATGTTGTTTCGGAATGTAACACAATATTGAAGTAATTAGTAATTTAGATGGGAAATTAACGGATCTCGGGGAAAGACGGATAATTCAGGCGCATTAATATTTTTATGTATTTTGTCATTAATTGATAAGGCAAGTAACAAGCTGCGCAATTGGCCTGTGGTTTACACCGCAGGAAATTTTGATACGTACATCAAGCTGATCGGAATTAAGTGTTAGATACGATACAAAAAAATAATTTTTTCTTTCTCTACAAAATGTTAGTAGAACTGCTCAGAGATATGTTCTCGAATAAAAATGTCAATTCTTTCTGATGTTATAAACGGTTAACTGAGCGTCCTTTGTTCAAAGTTATTTTTTTTTTACATATTAATAGCGTGGCACAGTTTCTGGTTACAAATTTTGCAAGATACTTCCAAGTGCTCAAATTAAATGATAGTAGTAATATTCAACAGAATTTATTACGCAGATCAGGAAGGCTGTTTGAATTTTTCAATTCATACCGAAGAAAACAGAACATATTTCATGAAAATTATTTTTATATGTTACGGATAAGGACATATATTGTTATTAAATGTTCTTTCACTTATATTCAGATGGAAAATGTTACGAAATGAGTGTTTAAACATCTGCAAGAATGCATCACGTTACTGATTTTTATTTAAGCATTTCTCGACCTTAACGTGTCTTGCAAAATATTGAACTGAATTTTAGCAAGGAACCGGAATAATTTAATAAGAATAATTTATAAAATTTATCGCAGAGTATGTAGAACAGGGAATATTTTTTTCCAGACAACGAAACGTTAGCAATAACGATTTCAGACGTAATAATCAACTTTCTATTCCAAGTTACCATATTTCTGTGACTTACGTTTCCAACGCGTCTATTCAAACGAAAAGTTTGTCGAGGAATTACATTTCCGTTGCAATTAATCCTTAGAATACCACGAAACCTTTTCGTGCGTAATATACACAGTGAACACCGACGAAAGGGGTCATGGACTCGGAGCCTTTTTAGAAAATATTATTATTAACACATTCGCGCCTGCTGACGTGAATTCACGTCGCTTCAAATTCTGTTCCCGGTTATGAAAAACTTATGAAAACCTTTCTACTTTGTACATTGCGTACTCACAACATTGATATCTGAAAACATATTTTGTAATTTTTATCTCCGCCATAGCGATACAAATTTGCGATATCCAGCTTCAGGATGATATTACACTAACACGCAAAACTTAGCGGACAAATTTTTAAACGGTTCAAAAACATGGAAGTTTTCAACCGATCGGAATTAAACTCCGTCAGGAGTAGTTTCGTAGTGTTCTCTGGGCGTGTGTAAAGTTCCATGAGCGAGGGTTGATGCAACGGGGTTAATTCACCCCCCTAAGAACAAACATAGTGAATTTCATCGCCCTCCGATGCGTGGAAGTGTTTTTTTACGAAGGGGGTTGAAAATTTGCAAGCTGATCCACCCTCCCCCCCCCCCAAAGGGCGCTTATGGGAAGCACGGTATGGATGATGGCATTTTCTGGAATAGGGGGAGTCCAGAGAATGCATTGAGTCCAAAATCGAGACTGTCGTCTAAAAATTGTGGATTTTAGAGGGGGTGGGAGGTTGTGGAGGGTGGGTTTGTCCGAGAGGGATTTCAAGGGGTGCATTTTGTAGAAGGCATCAAGGAGAGTCGCCCCAAAGGTTTTTTTGAATTTTTCAACTCCTTCCGTCATCCCCGGCCTGTTTCAAAGAGACGTTTTTCTACACCCTCCCCTTTAGAAGGGTGAATTAACCACTTCGCATCAACCCTCGCCCATGTAACTTTACACACGCCCAGAGGACACTACGAAACTACTCCTCGCGGAGTTTAATTCCAATCGGTTGAAAACTTCCATGTTTTGGAATCGTTTAAAAGTTTGTCCGCTAAGTTTTGCGCGTTTGTGTATATTTGTTGAATGTATTAATATTTAATATTTTCCTTGGATGACAGATTAATCGAAGCTTCGGAGCAAAAATATTCGCGAAAGCAAGAAATATGTTAATTCCTACGTGCTCGACGAGAACGAGAAACAGACGTACTAAATTTGCTCTCCGAAAGCACAGGGAGAACCTAAAAAGTACGTCCAAACTTTGAGGGAAAGTTTCTTCCATCAGGAGGATGAAAACATTTACTATATCCAAATACATAGGTCCTAAAACTTGCAGAGCTATTTCGGAAACACTGTCCAATTATAAACGAACGGAAACAATTCGCGAGAGCGTTCGTTATCAATCCTTTGCAAATGATAATTGTTCTCTGCTTTCCGATAGTTTTGCACGAAGGAATTTTTGGACTTGTTCAATTTATTCACGAATAAATAACTTTCGTTCATTTTCTGTGTATTTATGATTAAAGTTCGATCAATTTAAAAGTAATATTTCCGGTATAAATGATCGTAGTTTGGAACGTTTCATAGTAATGTTCCATTTAAAACGATGGCACATGTGAAACAAGCAAAGTAAAACTCAAATGCGCTAATATTTCTATTTTCTACCATACTGTTTTGCCATAAGCAAACACGAAGGATATTTCTAGATATGTAAAATTAGCTGTCGTCGCGTTAAACAGCGATCGTAACAAACCCGAATTACTCACGGGCCCTTAACGAGAAGTATCTCCTCTTCGAGAGTCCCTGTGACGATTCGTAATGCGCTCGTTGAAGTATGGTGCACGAAATTATCGAGTATCGCGTTCAATTTCGAAGCTGCGGAACGATAATTCGATAGAGCAATAACGGCCGAGCGACGAGAGTCCTCCTGCTAATCGACACCGTGCCAGCTATTCTGTCGTTCCCTGCAAATATTATAATCGCCTCCGTCGGCCCTCGCGAAGATATATTTCGCTCGTAACTTATATAGGCGTACCGAACGCTTAATCGCGTAATTTACGTTCGAATATTTCTTTCGATTTGCATGGCAAACGAGCGGCTCGCTCGATCACACTTAGTCACCGTGAAAACGCGGATGTACAAATTGCACGGAACAAAGTTAACGCGCGAAAGGCGAGTAAGCGATAAGAAAAGTTACGATTAATGCTTGACCGAGCGTGGCAGAGAGAAAAGGAAAAGAAAGCGGTTGCGCGAAAAGCGTTAAAGGAGCGAAAAGGGAACTCTGTTAATGAAATACCGACACTGGAAAGAAGGCGCGAGCCCCGACTAAAGATCGAAAAGGTTAGAAACTACTTAAAACAAGTAACAGAGATGAAACTCAACGGACCGTGTTAGCACGTTAAATGGCTACATTAAGAACTTTATAGTTAATTCAGACTGTTTCGGTCCTGCTATTGCTTCCGGTAAATTTCATCGTAACCAACGTCCCTCGCGCGATGTTTATGAATGATCGATAAAGAGCGTGCAGTACGCCAGCGCGCGAAGATGTACGCGTGAAATTCTACTGCACGTATTATTCATTATCACCCGAACGCGAACACCGACGATTAATGTAGCTTTCGATTGGTAATCCACTATTAATGCGCGTTTTAAAACGTTCCGAATTAATTGTACCATAATATTTTTGTGATTATTGGACGTCCATTAAGAAATGAATATTTATAATATCAATGCGTGTTAATGTACGTTTTCAAATTTGTACG